TTAAAAGTGTAAAAGTCCTATTGACCTGATTGTGTGGAGCTAAAATTGTTTTTTATCGTCATCGCCTAACATTTTTCAGCAGTAATATTTTTTCTCACTCACAACTACATACAGCATCTACCTAGATATTCATTAACACATTTAGTAATTCTGAAAGTTAAGAATTTATAAACAAATTCAGCGTCTCCTTTGGCTGATCTAAACCAGTGTTAGACATTTCACATTTTTAATGTAGAAACCAATATTCCAGAGGTCGACCACTCTTGGCTTCCCTAAAGTTAGTACTCACTTTATTCCACCCTGGACAGGGTTGAACCCGAATTGGGATTTGAACGAACACATTTCTAAATGTGAATCAAACAATATTCCCACAGCATCTATTATACACTATCTATTGAACATTACAATGTGCTCATGAGAGAATAAAACGTTCACACCAATGTAATTTCTAATCAATTTCATAGAAAACATTTCAGTCACACGGGACTGATACATTGCACTGTACACATTGCATATGTGCAAATGTATACAAGGCCCCTCACCTCCATGCTCCGATCATGCAAAATGTCACTACCTCAATTGTCGCCTGTGCTAATAGGCACAACGCAAGCTGTAACCTCCGCTGTGTCTGCAAGCCCTATCATGCCTACTCCTCTCACTTAATTTGTGTGTATGTTGAACTTCTTTCGCACCGTACGTAGCCAACCATGATAATCGGAGGTGCGGGGGAAGGACAACAAACTAATCCCCAAAATTTCACTCTACTCACCTCACTGTGCTCTACACAAAAGTGACCCCATGAATGTTCACACTGTTCACTCTCTGCCCAAGGCAAATGTTTCCTTCTTCTGTACCTGAGGGCTGCTTTACTACTTATGACTGAGCTTGTGCCGATGACACACAGCTGTTTATGCTTTCACCTGACCACCATACTGTATAATACCCCTGTGACAGGGCTGGAGATAATTTCCCCACACACCTCCCTCAATTGCCCTTCATTTCTTATCCCCACTGTACGGCAATGAGATATGATTAGACGTAATCATCATAAACATGTAACTAAGCACAAAACATAACTCACAATCATGGCTAAATCACCAGTCATAAGCCTCCGGCAAACACCTGACAATAGATGATCACCTGAATTTAAGAGACACTAGGAGATTATTAAAATGCAAACATGATACTTACAAGTCAGCAAAAAAATGTACAATTCAATGCATTTTGATTTTAGCAACGTGAAAAGGAGAAATGTGCAGACAATCACGCCCTGATCAAAGTTCACACAGCTATCTGACGTAAAAGGAAAGTTGCTTTGTCACATGGGAGGTCAAACTACTATGAGTGCTAAATATAAAAACTCCCAACCAACCAGCACCTGCTGCCTCTCAGGTGTGAAGCCACAAGCCAATGTATTGCAACTGGTTCAGCTGATCATCTTCATTTATGTTTAAATGCCAGTGTGTCCCCATGACCCATCCCTAATCCTTCAATATGGCACATGGCAAATCACACAATGTATCAAACTGCACTGTACCCGATATAGTTCTCATACATTGTACATTGAGCAAAACGCAGTGCTGTATACAGACTGCAAAATACATTGCATATACATTTCCATGCTTTTATTCTCTTGTTTTTTGAAGCAGTCTCGAGGTGCTACTGACCAATTTGCAAGCTTAAATCCTGATTCGGGGCACATGAGGCTCTCCAGGATTGCTAGGCTAGAAGTGGATAAAGAGTCACAATTGCACTATGATTGGCTCCCACTCTAACCAACCATAGTGCCACTTGCTTCTCAGTACAGCCCTATATACTTTAATCAGAGAGTTCAACCCCCTAGTTATTATTACCTAAAAATCGCTCATTGGTCGTAGCCGAATTGAGAAAAATGGAATAAAAAAGTATTTAGTAAAAAACGTGTTCAGGGATTTTGCAACGAGGCACAAATTCTGCGACATTTTAATTTAATTCGAAATATGTTGCCAGCACAAGTCGAATTAACATGTTAATGAAAACACTACCTAAGAACTCATGGAAATGCAGCCAGTGAATAGGCATAGGGCGACTCCTTGCAACAAGGGCAGAGACAGACACAAACAGCTGACTGGCATCTGGCCATACGCAGTCCCATCGGGCGCGGGCACTGCAGCCCGAGGCGGGAACACACTCACACGCCCTCCCCTCTGAGCCCTCAAACACTCCCTCCCCACATTCGACCATAACCCCTCCATCCCAAAGGGATATCCTTACTCCTCGCAGGATGCATTGACATCTCCCCAGCCTGAGAGGGATCCTCACATACTCTCCCTTCCCACATACGCTCCTTCCCCACACCAAACACTCCACCACAACCACCTCACGAATGCCTACAATCACTCCCAGCACACAGCCTGAAGGCCCCAACTGCTTCCTTACCATGAGGCTGTGCGAGTAGAGGCATCAACGATCACTGCAGTGGAATCTGGGTGGCGAGTCCTAATAATCCACAACTACTAAGCTACTCACATAATATCCGAACCTCCGACAGCTGTTAGAAACACCACCACTGACCATACCACACTGACAGGTTACTGTGGTACCAGGCGCTGGTCTCCAGGTGGGCTCTACCACCCCTGGAGCTCTGGACACCACGAGCAGAGCGAACCACATCCCACCAAACACCGACACTCACAGTGGAACCTATACTGACCAAACACACTCGAACACGGCCACACAACTGGTACAAACTGATCATCCTCACTGACACGCTCTCTCACACACTGATACACACTTATGCACACTGACCATGCACAAGAACAACCGCCGTTCACCATTAAGAGAAACTAAAACTAAACTTTTTTTTTACCACGGCGTTTGCGTCATGCTCTGTGCACTTTAAAGTCAAGTCAAGTGTCAAAGGTCCGCTGGCAAGTCATCTCAGCCAGTAAGGTTGACTGACTGACATGACTGACTAATGTGACTAGTAGATGCACCAACTGTGCTCTCCACTGTGCCAACTTTCTGCGTTTTAGCCACCTGGCACTCTGCTCGTTGCTGTGAGGATCACTCCTCGACTCTCCGTTGTTGCTGGAGGGTGACTGCTTCCAACTCACCAGTCGTATTCCTTCATGAACCTCCTCCACAGAGGCCGATCTTGACACTGCTGGTACCAATCATCGGCAAGTCCAATTAGCTCCACATCCTTCTGTGCCACATCCGTCCATATCTTTTTCTGTAGCCCATGCCACACCAGTTAAGCCAAATATATCCTGCCAAACTGAAACTGCTTGGGGCATGCGGTGGCTGGGCATATGGGCTAAATGATCCAGCCAACGCAGCCTAGCTTGCCGGAGGAGATAATTGATGAGATTGTGCACAGATCTTTCAAGGATTGGTGAGCTCCTCACACAATCTATCATGATTAAAACCAGAATGGATCGTCGGCAGGCCAGCCTGAATGTTATAAACCGGCGCAGATGTTCCTTCAGAGGGAGGGCATAACTGTGGCCGAGAAGACCCGGAACTTCGTGTGGAGCGGACAGGAAAGGTCACTTCTATACAGCGTTACGCAGATGATTAAATAAAAGATAATGCCTCTCTACGTATTCGGAGTGAAGACCTCTGCTGCAAAACCGGAGCTGGTCATAAGCACACTGCCAAGGTACGGAAACTTCTCCACAACTGCCCCATCACTTACAGGTTGGGGGACACACGCACTGACACATGCACTGACACATACACTGACACACTGACCATGCACACACACACGCTCACACAAAATTACCATAATCATTTACACACTGACCATGTGCTCGCACACACACGCTGATACACGCTGACGTTCTGCATTGCAATACTGAGAGTGACACACACTTGACACAATGACCATGCATACCAACGCACACTGTCCGTCTGTGATACAACAGCAGCAGCTGCCTTTCACCACTAAGTGACGGTGACGTAACCACAGCGATTGTGCCAGGCTAGGTGCACTTTGAGGCCACGTAAAAGTGTCGAAGGGACAGGCCTAGGTCTTACGGGTGAAAGAACTAAGGATGACAGGCAGAAGCACCACCTGTGTTGTCCACTGTGTCAACAGCCAAACACACATCCACAACAATAACACACAATGCCACACAAATGCAATTGAGACATTGCTGCACACGGACAGAACACAATGACTGACACACACAGAAGCCGGGCAATTTGACACACGCTGACAGACATCGACACCCTCGCCCAAAAATTCACATTGCTACTCATCCTCACCATCACCTCACCACTAACAGTAACTTAACCAGCAGCATTCAAACTCACCACCTCACACTCCCCACACACCCTCAGCGTATCACTCTCCATCACAACTCACCACTCACTTGCACTCATCACTCTCTCACCGACCCATCACTCTCCTAACCATTCACCATCACCACTCATCATCACCACTCATCATCACCACTCATCATCACCACTCACCATCACCACTCACCATCACCAACACTCACCCTCACCACTCACCATCACCACTCACCATCACCACCACCACTCACCATCACCACTCACTTCATCACCACTCATCATCACCATTCACCATCACCATTCACCATCACCACTCACCATCACCACTCATCATCACCATTCACCATCACCACTCACCATCACCACTATCATCACCACTCACCATCACCACCACTCACCATCATCATCATCACCACTCACCATCACCACTCACTTCATCACCACTCACCACCCACCACTCACCATCACCACCCACCACTCACCATCACCACTCACTTCATCACCACTCACCACCACCACTAACCATCATCATCACCACTCACCATCACCACCACTCACCATCATCATCACCACTCACCTTCTCATCGGGGCCCTCTCAACGTCGCCGCCGTCCCTCACAGAAGAACAACACTTCACCCTCATCTCACGCCGACTTTTCTCGCCCGTACATTCGCGTCCCTTTCCGAATGTGTCCCGGTGTGTTACGCCCCTCTCCTCACCCGCGCCTTCCCGGCTTGTAGGAGCCTCTGCCGCTCCTTCTCGTCCTCCATCGCGGCGGCGGCTGCGGCGGCCTCTGTGGAGAAGGCGGAGCACGCAGATCGCCCTCCTCTCCGTTCGCTCGGCGGCCCGGTGAGGGGGAGCCCGCGCCACCCCGCGCGCTCTGCGTCGCTGGACACCGTGGAGCCGCTAACCCCGCCCCGCCCCGCCCACTTTCCCATCGCCCCGCCCACTTTCCCCCCGCCCCGCCCACTTTCCTCCCCGCCCGCCCACTTTCCTCCCCGCCCCGCCCACTTTCCCCCATCGCCCCGCCCACTTCCCCCCCGCCCCACCCCGCCCACTTCCCCAGTCGTCTCGTGTCGCGTGCGCCGATTGGCCGGAGCGCGCGAGCCGACGCGTCCGTTAATGTGCGAGCAGCCGATTGGTCCGTTCGAGCGCGGCCGCGGCCATTCAGAAGCGAGCAAATAAAAGGGACGCCAGCGCCGAGAAGTCATGGGAGGAGCCACGAGAGATATGGGGAGGAGCCATGGGATGATGGGAGGGGCCACGTGATCGTGGGAGGGGCCACGGTGGCATGGGAGGGGCCATCTGATGATGGGAGGAGCCACAGTATAGTGGGAGGGAACCCCACGATATGGTTTGCAGGAGCCACGAGACATCGTTGGAGGAAGCCACGGGAGATGTTGAGAAGAACTTCGAGATGATGGGAGAGGCCACGATGAATGACGGAGCGAGCCATCAGCCATCGTGGGAGGAAGCCACTGAAGAGTCAGGACGGAACAAGTTGGGAGGCCGACGAATGATGATGGGTGGAGGCTGGGAGATAAAGGAGATGCTGCACTGTGAAGAATCCCGCACCTTATGTTATCCAAAATTAAATGTTTAAGCAAGAAAACTTTGAACCGGTTTCGATATTCTGGGTCGCATCGATTGCATGTGAAGACGCTTGACCTGAACGCTGCAATGGGCATTCAGGGCACTTGTGCATGGGTGAGAGAAGTGCTTCACTGTGGATGGAGACTTAAGACATGAGTGAACGATCCTGGAATTAAAACTTTCTGTTTGAGCTAAAGTCCAAGATGACTTTAACCACCCTCGTACATCATATATGCCCCCTTCTTCCCCATGATGAACATATCCCACTGTTTTGCAGTTTACTTGAGATGTGGTTGCATTTGGAATGTTTTAACCAAAATTCGGGTGTACCGTAGGTTAGCACGAGTATCTCCTGCTTTGCATATGACTGTGGGTACGATTGGGAATTGGTAGAACGAATATTGCAGAACCACCATGACATCGAAGCAACATCCACCATTTCTGTTAAATGCCCCCTTTTCCACTGACACATCCGAGCCGAGCAAGCGTAGCCCACTCACGGTGTGGGTGGATTTCCACTGCCGAGCCCGAACCAAATCGTCATACACTTGATCTCGAGAGATATCCGAATCTGGCTCGGAGCCAAGCAAAACCAGGGGCCAGGCTAATGAAGCATTAATTGCGCGTAACGCCAGTCAGTACACTATAAGGTTACAGCATCACCGCGTCCTCTACACACGTCTCGACTCGTTCATTGCGTGTGGCATCAACGTCACTGTTAAGGTTCTGTGGTGGTTAAACCCAGTGCCTCCTAAACTAATGTAGACACTGTCAGTGTTGGAAATGTGTTCATAATAAAGGCCTTTAGGTTCGATCGCGTAAATATAAATGTGTCATTAAATAGAACCGAAGTTACTGCCATCCCCATTTATTGCCCCTGCAGATATCCAATCACAGAACTTGCTTGGGTTTCATTCGATGATATATTTATGGCACCTCTTCTGGTTTTTGTCAAGAGTTTTATGGTTTAGGATTTGGCTTTAGGGTGAGGGTTTAGTCGTTATGATTTACGGTTAGGGGTTATGGTTTTGTCTCGATCAATGTATCACTGCTCAAAGTCAACTCAAGGAAGTTTTGTATTGAGAAATATCTGCCCTCCTCAACACCACCACCCAGCACTCCATAGTATACTGTTTCAACTAAGGTAAGAATTTTGTGATGCTACTGCGTTGGCAGTGGTGAATAAGCACAATACACAAAATACTCTACACATTCGTTAATAACACTACATTAAAAGGACAGCATAGACGACATGTCAGGCAATGGCGTTTCTTTATAGTACGTATAAAAAAAATTAAAATTACTATGAAAAATGGCAATTGAACGAAACGTCAGCTAGTATATTTCGTCTTCTTTAAAGGCAGTGTTATTGACAGATGTGTTGAGCTTATAGTGTTGTATACGGTTTCTTTATTTCATGGGTCGACTGTTTTGCACATAGTACAGTGCTTCGTTATAATTATATATATTCCATAATATAAATGAGATTCCATAATTGTATATAAGATTTGGTAACGGGAATGTTTTCACCTAATAGCCGTACATTGAACACAGTATATTTTAACCGAACGCTGGATTGTTGTTTCTGCACAGCTCTGCCTGGGCCTATATGGAGGTGTTTGCCTCCGTTTGCTGTACATTTACTCCTTCCCCTTGTCTACTTTGACAATTACAATGTTCTATTCTCCTAAAGTTTTGTTTTACTGCATTATAGTTTAGTTTAGTTCTGTCCCCCGACAGTTCTGCCAATCTCGTATCGTGTCTTGAGATACGGTTATAATGATACGCTATTATCAATGTGAGTATGATGGTGTGACGCTCAGTATTTTAAGACATGCACCTGTGCTTTGTAGTGGCACTGCCCCGAATGCATGGCGGCGGTGACATGCCCCCCGTGGTAGCGCGTGTGCCGCTAGTTGCAGGGGTTCGAATTCAACAGGCTGCCCTGGTTAGTACTGCGGTGTGTATTTACCATACACGTGCAGTGTCGTCGTTCGGAGAAAAGTAGGCCATTGTTTGCCTGCGTAATGGTCCAAATTTGACTTATAAAAAGAAATGACACGGCAAATTACTTAACTGTGAAACACTAATCAAAACCCTCCTGAAAATAAGTCTTGAGATTAGTGAGTATTTCCTGAGCAAACACGCGTAGTCGGAGTAGGAATAATAAGGCTCGTACCTGCTTGCCCATGAGATGACTTCCTCCGTGGACTAGTGATGCATTGTATGGTCTGATTGATTGTCAGCTCCACGCGGTCCCACTGCGCCATCGCGTGATCCTAATGTAACTACCCTGCGTTCCTCACGGCGCACCTCTGTGTTTACTTTCCTAAGTCTATCCGTATGTGCTCCATTTTACTGCACTATGCCACATAACCTGTGCCTCGAGGAGACACCTTTACCAGCAGACGTGCACGTTGGTGTGCCTCTAGCCTCGTGGTGTCCACCGCTATACAATGCGATATGAGGCTGACGTCTGAGAATGCATCAGTGTGTGGCACACCGTATTATTTATTCAAGTCGAGGTATCCGGTGGCCAATTTGCCGAGCACCCTCGTGTCCCCTCCTCGCATCCTACAAGTTGGCAAGCCCTTGCTGACAGACAACACCGTTCTATAAACTCTATCTTCATATTCTCTTAGGTTGGTAATAGCATTGAATAATGCAGCACTCAGCGATCCCACTTTGTGAACTGAATAGACTTTCGGTAAATGCTCGTAATAGTGCATACATTACTTGGGCTGTCTAATTACTGAATATGCAGTGTTTTATTTGTGTTATTAGTTTGTATGAAAATGAATCTGTTGAGTGGTCTGGTGCATGTGCTAGGGAGCACTCTCTAGCAGTGGTTCCCAAACTTTCTGGATTTGTTGACCAATGCCAACCCTAAAAAAAATGTAAATGTTAAAACTACTCTAAAAAACGTTGCAAAATAGTAATTAGTAAAAAAAAACCCTGAAGTACCATTATCTCGCGTTTCATTGGATAATCTAAACAGTTGTGGAATTGGCAGTAATAATATAGTGTTTTGTAGTTCTAACCATAAGGTAATGCTAATTTTGTAAAACATGTGACGTAATTATCATAATCGACTTAGTGATGCATTCATGGGCCCAACTGTCATCCTATCTCTGATTGTTCAGCAAACTTGTTGTCGAGAAGCATGGAAGCTGACGAACAGAATGGAACAAAAGCAAAAAAGTGCACAAAGAAGCATTGGGAGATGTATGTTTGGGATTACATGGAGAAAGATAACACAGGTTAAAGACGTAACTTAGGATTCGAGAGCATACATTATTTAAGGACGTAATTTTCATTGTTAAGATAAGTGGGCTTGAGCAGGACACGTGGCTAGGAGGGACGGTGGACAGCAGACTAGAATAACTACTCAGTGGCAGCCAAAGGAGGAAAGTACCCAAGAGTATGTCCACTGCGGAGAATAAACGATTAATTCTAGATTTGAAGTTTTCGTGACTGCAAGGATTCATTCTCTTTGGTTTTTTTGGTAAAGTCACGTAGGTAAAAAAAGCTAAATTAATTAACTCACGACGTTTCGGAAGCAGCACAAGCCTCCGTCATCAGGTATAACTGCTGCAGTAAAATTGCTGTAGCGTATGAAGAGAGCTATTTAGAGACACGAAAAAACCAAAGAGAATGAACGATGAAATCGACTAGCATGGAGGTTTTAGGTGATTCCTTGCATCGCAAGACCATGAAGAAGGATGGCAACTTGGAGAGGCCATCATCCAGCAGTGGATCGATCATGGATAATAGCGATGATGGTGGGTTTCCAGTCTCTTAACAAGATAACAACTTCCCACAAAGTGGTACTCAATATGAGGGTGAGTTAAATAATAACTAAATACCGTATTACATTTGTATTAAATCAGTAAATTTTTATATACCACATGTACATTTAAAGAGATAAGGTAATTTCCAAAATAAATATTACGTAAAATCGATAACATGCAATAGAGTTAAATACCAGCACTATTTAAGCTTATCTTGATTTGAAGCTTTCGTGACTGCAGGAATCCATACTATTTGGTTCTTTCGGTAAAGTCACGTAGGTACAAAATAAAATAAAGTAAAAAATAATATATCACTTATATATAATTTTTATATATCATAAGAAATATAGCACTTATGATATATTTTAATTAACATTTTCTATCTACGTGACTTTACCGAAAGATACAGAGCTGTAATACGGACTGGTGCAGGTAAAGATAAAAAGCAAACGCCCTTATATGCTGAGATGACCCAACGTTCCCCGTACAGGGCCTCCTGCCCTTATGCTATGGTTTACTAATGAGT